TGGGGGGGGGGGGGTGTGAGAGAGAGATGTTGACCTTTCCCTGTTGCATATACCTTCAACTAATTAATTGTAAAGCACTATTGAGGTGTGTTGCTAATTTTCTCTCTGGTACACCCTGGTTGTACCTGCTGGCTTAGCTACAAAGAAATCTGTCCTTATTGTAACCACCAATCTTTCCCCTGCAAACAAATAGGCATTCTGGCAATGTGGCACCCTCATGGGGAGCCTGGAACATAATCGCCCGATTGTCATAGCTTTGTTCCCTGTATAAGTCTACATTCTGCTTCTTTGGGGGTCAATAGTAAAGCTTCCTGTAGCTTCAGTGCCAAAGGATCATACATGCTCAAGCAAGGTCCTTTATTCCAACTCATTTTTCAGCTGGAGAATCTCGAGACTTCCTCCCTGGATGTTTTTCTGATCCTTCCCTTTCCTCCCCACAGTATGTAAAATGAATGTGCACATAAGATGCCAAGCAAACGTCGCACCCAACTGTGGGGTGAATGCAGCAGAACTGGCTAAAACCTTGGCGTGCATGGGGCTGCAGCCAGGAAATATTTCTCCAAATTCGGTGAGACTTTGCTTCTTTCTTTGTAAGTGTTTGCTGCCAACCTGTGTGCATGAGCACAGGAGGGGTTAAAGGCTTTGGCTTGAAGGGGAGGTGGCGGGTGGAAGAAGCAGAGGCCAGCCATTCTCTGACAGCCAGTCCAATGCCTCACCTGAAGAACGGATGTTCATTTTCTAAGCTTGGCTTGACAGTGTGATAGGGTAGCCAAACTGGAGGCCTGGCTCTCTGCTTGAGTTTCACGCCAGCATACCTCTTGGTGAAGGTGAGGGCAAACCCAGGCCCAGCATCTAGTGGGTCAGCACAGTTTGGGGACGTCCAGTCAGCGAAGCAGGGGAGCAGTCTGGTGTGGTGGGTAGTATATTAGGCTGTAACTCGGAGACCTGGGGTCTCTTTCCAGCTCTGCCACTGCTTCTCTCTGTGGTCTTTGGCAAGTCATGTATGTCTCAGTTCCTTTACCTCTGCAAGATTGAGTGTCTTGAGAGAGAGAGAGAGAGAGAGAGAGAGAGAGAGTTGAAGAGGGCTATATAACAGCTGTGTGGCATTACTCATTGTAATGGTCTGGGGAAAACAGCAGCTAAAGCTACAGCAGAACTCGGAGCTCTGTCGTTTCAACCCATGCTGATGAAAAGTGAACTGATGGATTTAAAGCAGCCTTCACATTATTAGACCGTTAAAAATGTCAAATAACAAATGCCATGAGTTTCATAGTTTCTAGGGTCGGAAGG